TCAAAAAATTCCTCTGATTTCTGACATGTGATTGCCATGGTTACCAACTGAAAAAATGCTAAAAATGCAAACATTCAACCTAACACTACAATTTTATAAAAGAAATATATTTCTGAACACCTGTTTTAAAATCAACAACACTGTCATGGTAACTTGAGGTTTTTTTAATGTAAAACCAATTTTCATGATGTAATACTTACCATAACTTTAGTATGCAAATACAGTACCTACACCCATCTTTGTATCCCAACAACAAAAGATTAAAAAGAAAAACAATCCCGCCCTCCCTACGATCCATGAGCCATCACGGCAGGAACGCAGAGTGATCTCCCTTCCTCTCATAACCTTTATGGCGTAAACCCCACAGAGGGGCAGCCAGGCAGATAAGGAAGAGGGGAGGATAGGGTGGGACTCCATAAAGTTATGGTAAGTATTACATCATGAAAATTGGTTTTACATTAAAAAACCTCAATTTCATTTCAGTAATAATTACCATAACTTTAGTATGCGAATTCGTCTTACCGTAGTGGTGACTAGAGGCCAGGCAGCCCCTTCAGCACAACCAAAGTAGTAGGGAGGGAGAACAGAGTGCTAAAGTGAAGGAAGGGACCTCTCTGTGAAAGAGCAGGTGTACCCATATGCCGCCGTACGGAAAGACATGGCCCGGGGCTAACGAGGAGGCCCAGCCACTGACTATGCCACCACCAAAGGTCCCAATGAATACAGGCCTTCTGAGTGGGAAGCTAGGGATCACAGATAAAAATCTGTGAAGGTATCCCTGCCCTGCCAGAATACTGCAGACATGACCTCCTGAAAGGAGGACTCATTGAGAGAAGGGCCCAGGATGAAGCAAGGGCCCTGACCTCGTGAGACCGCGCTTTCGCTCTCGCCCGAGCCAGATCATAAAAATGCTCGTAAGCATACTAAATCACCTGGCAAAATCCCCCTGGAAACCGACTGGGAGGAGATATCTCGTTGTCCCTGTTTAATGGGCAAAACAGACGGGATCGAGAGCCCCGCCCCCCCTCCCCCCCCCCCCCTTTGGTTTTATCAAGATAAAACCTGAGAGCCCGACAAAGACAAAGCAACCTATCTCGCTCCTGGACGTCTATTCTGCGTGAGTGAAGGAAACACCAGCAGCAACTTGGTGAACACCAAAGGAGCTGTCGTGCGCCCCAAGGGCATCTCTGTCTTTCTGAATCCCCGGGAGGAGGAAAGAAACAAAAACGGCCAGGAGGCGAGGGACGAATCCTGAAGAAGGGGAATACCTAGACCCTCCCTGACCACCGACAAAAGCCCAAGCGTCATCTGTAATATCCTGCCACTGGGAAAGGAAAGCAGAGAGACGTCCGCCCACAGGGAGTTCCGGATGGGGCAGATTGAGCCCCTGCCAGACCAGAGAATCGTCTGCCCACCCGGAGCCTGAGCCTGCGGGAGAAGGATATGAGCCCGGGAAAGGAGAACCACCGTCCACCCGGCCATACCCTTCGCCTTTCGCGGCCAAGAAGCAGAAATAGTCAGGAACCCTTCTTCTTGCCCCCAGGAGGTTTCTTACCCTTCCTACCCTTCCCCTTGTTGCCGTTGAAGTGAGGTTGGGACTTGGGCTGTGCAGAAAACTGAGCAGCCGAAGACTTCGCCTTCTTCTTAGGAGGCACTGACCCCTGCGAGGCACTGGCCTTCTCAGCCTGAAACCTCTTCACCAGAAGTGCTGAGGCGACCGAGTCCTCCTTCATATCCTTCTGAACCCAAGGAAGAGCTCCCCTGAACAGGGTAGAGCCCTAGAAGGGGGCATTCAACAAGCGGAAACGGTAGGGTTACTGGACTGGGCGGATTTTCAGAACTGAAAACTGCCTAGCCAACACGGCATTGACGAGCAGAGAACCTGCAAGGCTGCCGTGTCCTGTATGTCGGCTGTTCTGTCTCGGATAACCGACACTCAGGCAAATCGGATACCCTGTATAGACAAACTGTCAGGAAGTCTATGTATGACAGAACTTGGATGGAGAGGTGCAACATTCTCTCCATCCTGTGGTGCTCTTTGGGATCGAGCACCACCTGGTCCACTGATTTGCCGGGCCAGGCAGCCAGCTGTCTCAACTCCAGCTGTGCTGGTTGAGAGGCCAGCTGCCCATCATGTGTGGCATAGTCGGAAGCTGAAGCCTCCGACAATTCACCAACACTGAGCTGCAGACCGACAAACCCGGGAGCACGGGTAGAGAAGGAGTCCTTCTCTAAAACCGGAGCCCGGGCCGTGGCCAGAACCGAAGACATGATATTGCCTTCTGGCAGAGACCGATCTGAGCGAACGGAAGCCCGAGGAGCCACCAGGGAACCCAGAAGGATGGTGGATTCAGGCGCCGACGATGCTGAGGCGGTGGGCAAACCTCCGCCCTGAGAATCCGGGAGATGTTGGCCCGGAGGACCCGCATCCCAGAAAGCACATGCTGAGCCTCGGCTTCAGCAGTCTCAGGGCCATCTTCCCCTTGTGAACCCTCTTGGCCCAGGAGAAAGATGTATGACATCGTCTTCCTCTGCCGAGCCCGCACCCTCGATGTCCATCTCCTCCTCAATAGAGACCGAAGTCCCCTTGGGAGGAACAGGGGCCGCCAGAGGAGCCATCTCCGCAGAGGGGAACTCCTCTTTATGGCATTTGGACGCAGCGCGACCAACAGCCGTAGCTGTAGGCTTGGGTCGGAGACCCGAAGCCGACCCCTGGGAACAGGAGACCGACGGGTCCGCGCTGGAGGCGGAAGTCCTTAAGGTCTGGCAAACCTTTATAGGACCGGCCAACAAGGCCCCCGAAGTAGCAGAACATTGGGGGGATTCCGCACTGCTATAACATCTCCTAGAGGAGAGACCAACCCCTATGGGTTCCACGAGTGAAGACCCATGGGGTAAAAACCCAAACCCCTGAGGGAATGGGTACGGTCCAGCGGGCCGGGAGTGACCCCAGAACTGGCCAAGATGGCCTGCCTGAGTTTGGGGCTGGACACCCTGTCCAAAGGACCAGGATGAACCGCCACTCCCACCAGGTGGAAACCCAGACATGTACGGGCTAAGCCCGTAACTGCTGAGTAACTGTTGGTACCCAAAACCATCCGCAGGTTGGCCTGGGCGACCCAGGAATAAGTGCCCGCAGGCACCCCTACTCCCTGAGCCCGGGGGAAAGGGAGACCGGAAACCGGACTCCTGGCCTGAAGCCCCAAACCCTTGGGGGAAAAACCCCTGGGAAACCCTGCACTGGGAAATCTGGATAGGGACGGAAAGTCCCAGAGCCAGAAGCCTGTGAGGGTGGGAAAACAGACCCCGAGCTGACACCAGGATTAGTGAACTCAAGTGTCACTAATCCCCGTAGCCACAGACAATCCTGACAAAAAGTCTGTGGCCCCTGACCCTATACCCGAAGGCACAGTTCCGGAGTCAAAGCGGCCCCCACCAACGACGCCACCTGGCGCGCCGAGGTCCCTGAAGGAATCAGAGACCTCGACCGGAAGTCCCTTTCCGACGGTAACACCGCCGCCTATCGAGAGCTACCGGCCAATTCGACCCTTGACTGCGCCGAGTCAGGGTCGGGCTGCCCCCACCCCCCCTACTCCAGGATGCACCTGGACAGGGGGAGCCACCCCCTGCTGAAGGGCGGAGCTCGGTGGAACGAGAGCACCCCCAGCAGGAACGCTCTGGTTCAGAACTTGAGGAGGGAGGTCTTAAAAAGCTTACTTCCCTTACCGGAAGAAGAGGACGAATCCCTCTTCCGGCGGAAAGTTAGCTGGAAAGGCATGGGAGCCTAAGCAGCAGACTCCATGTGCAAACAAAGTTCACATAGCGAGGTCTGGCTGCAATGTCGGCAAATGGGACAGGTATCATGGGGTTCCCATTATCTATAGAAATAGGAACATCCATGCGCTGACCCCCGACGTAAACCCGGCACCTTTATCCAGCATCGAAACAATAAAAAAATTGTAACAATGAAAACAAGGATAAAAAGTTTTCTAACAATCAAAAAACTACGAACGAGATCATAAAACCTACCGTACGCAGCAAGATTGTACTGCAAAAAAAGAAAACGGTCGTACAAAACGGCCGACAAAGCAGCAAGAAAACAATTTCAACTTCACGAAATTCCGAGTGACGAGACAAGTAGTCACGCACTCGAACACGCGGAGGAAAAACACGGCCGGAAACGAAGTTCTCGAACAATCAAAAAACTACGAACGAGAGCACAAAGCCTACCGTATGTAGCAAGATTGCACTGCATAAATAAAACGGCCGTACAACACGGCCGACAAAGCAGCAAGAAAAACAAATTCCAACTTCACGCAAATCCGAGCAACGAGACAAGTAGTCACGCACTCGAATACATGGAGGAAAAAACGGCCGGAAATACGGTCAAAATAAACAAATGACAATACTTAATTTCACAATATAAGTTGGGAGATGGGTTTATAGACTACTAATAGAGTAAAAATATACTCAAACGACAATGGCAGTACGAAGAGAAGGAGTAAGAAAAGCACTTAGCTCAGACACCTCCGCACTCGTCGGCAGCCATAAAGGTAAGAGGAAGGGAGATCACTCTGCGTTCCTGCCGTGATGGCTCATGGATCGTAGGGAGGGCGGGATTGTTTTTCTTTTTAATCTTTTGTTGTTGGGATACAAAGATGGGTGTAGGTACTGTATTTGCATACTAAAGTTATGGTAATTATTACTGAAATGAAAATACTACTTACATTTCAGCAAATTTCAACTCGGAAATCCTTCACATGACCACATGTAAACACTATGAAAATTTCACTTCGTGTAAAGCTAGTTTTTGGTGCATAGACACAGCACTAGGCTGAAATATTATTCTGAAAAAAGGAAACACGAAAACGAAAACGAAATTTTAGCAACGATTTCTTTTTTAAAATCTAATTAAAACCTTCATTATGGGTTAATCTAATGAAATCAACAAAACTATCACCCATGGCAACACCGAGAAGCTGTGTACTGCTACCAGAGGGTTAGTGGTAGAGGGAATAAAGTTGGGTGTAGATGTTAGGGGATTGAGGGTAGAGGGTAGAGGGTTGAGAGTTGGGGATAGAGGGTTGGGGAAAGATGGTGGGGGTAGAGGGTGAAGATTTGGGGGTAGAGGGTTGGGGGTAGAGGGTTGGGGATAAGATGGTAGAGAGTAGAGAGTTGGGGGTAGAAGGTAGAGAGTTGGGGATAGAGGGTTGGGGATAAGATGGTAGAGAGTTGAGGGTAGATGGTAGAGAGTTGGGGAGAGAGGGTTGGGGATAAGATGGTAGAGAGTTGGGGGTAGAAGGTAGAGAGTTGGGGAGAGAGGGTTGGGGATAAGATGGTAGAGAGTTGAGGGTAGATGGTAGAGAGTTGGGGAGAGAGGGTTGGGGATTAGATGGTAGAGAGTTGGGGAGAGAGGGTTTGGGGTAAGATGGTAGAGAGTTGGGGATAGAGGGTTGGGGATTAGATGGTAGAGAGTTGGGGGTAGAAGGTAGAGAGTTGGGGATAGAGGGTTGGGGATAAGATGGTAGAGAGTTGGGGATAGAGGGTTGGGGATAAGATGGTAGGGAGTTGGGGGTAGATGGTAGAGAGTTGGGGATAGAGGGTTGGGGGTAAGATGGTAGAGAGTTGGGGGTAGATGGTAGAGAGTTGGGGAGAGAGGGTTGGGGGTAAGGTGGTAGGGGCACTACCGCCATGCCATGAATGGTTTTGTTGTAACCTGACCTCTTGTAACATACTTTGTATGTCTGAGAGTACCAATAAAATCTAAATCTAAATCAAGTACATCATAAAAAGGACATTTTCTTTCCCATTTTATTTAGTCGCATAAATATAAACACTGTACGTACGGTCTACAATGCTCTAGTATCCCGAGACTTCCAATCAAAATATTAGCAATAGGTCGTGTAAACAGACATTGTTATGTTTACCACTGTCGTGTCTCCTGGTTTTTATTGTTCAGTATGAGGTTGGCCACACTATAGCTAAGACGAATTTTGCGCTGACTACCACACAAAGGTATGGATTTTTCAATCTGTCTACTTAATATTCTTACTATATTTACTATATTCAGTGCCATTTTAATTTTGTTTGGTACTTTGGGTTTAACGATCCGTGAACTTCCATCGCTATTTTAAGGCAGGGTAACATGTTAGTGGCAAGTGCAAATACATTAACTAGGTACATGATAGTAAACTTTGATCCGAGTTCAGTTTCAAATTTTTAAATGCGATGGTTCTAAATAGCAAGGTATTTTTTCAATCAAAGGACATGGGAACCACCATGTTATCAACTGACCCTCAATAGAAAATTAGAAGGTCAACACGTGCCGTCTCTAAACCAATGATATCGGAACATTCTTGAACGGGGTGCGAAATTATCTAGTTATACAGTGCGAGATAATTAAATTGACTCTGTATTCTACACAATTGTAAAAAAAGTTTTAAAAAATTCCTCATGTAGCACTAATAAGTTTCCGAGTTATCTGATAACAGATTAAACTTGAGTGATTAAGCTATCTATTTTATTTTTCAGGTTGCAGATTCTAGTATGGGGTACAGGGAGATATTTTGGATCTGTGTTATCATCGCTGGAATTACAGTGTATTTCTACTCCACTGTGTTAAGTGACCGTTACTTAAACAAGCGGCATTTAAAACATGAGCCCTTTCAATACACAAAATATAACAAAATAGCCAGAAAGAAAACCCCCTTAATTACACTGTTTACATCCTGGGATGTGTATCCGGAAAGTTTCACAGTATTTAATAATACTTTACAAAACTGGCCACTTCTACGACCTCATGTAAACATCATTCTGTTTACCAATGACGTTATACCCGACAAGTATAAACAGCTCGGGTGGACGGTGTTGCCAATCAAACGACAGGTCAAAGGTCACCCGATTCTGAAGCATTTGTTCCTGGAGGCGATGAAACATCAACCGTATTCCAAACTATATGGTTTTTCTAACGGAGATCTACTTTTTACAGAGTCTTTGATCCAGAGTTTACGGAAAATTATTGTGTCACCTCTGGTTTTTAATAGGACCTACATGATTGTAGGACAGCGGATGAATACTCCGAACGTCACGCGCGAAGAAGCAAGTTCGTGGGCGAATGTCGAAAAGGCTGCAGAGAGGGGAGAAATGAAAAAGACATTTATGGGGATCGATTATTTCTTAACATCGCCACAATACCATTGGAAAGACATACCTGAAGTTCAAATAGGCCAAAAACTGTACGATACATGGTTAATATGGGACGGTCGTCGTATGGGCTACAATGTCATTGACGCCTCAAACACCATATTGGCTGTTCATCAAAACGCTCCATATCCAGAAAAGCATGGTAAGATGAAAAATAACCTTCCGTATATAAAAGAACCCAGTCAAATGCTCTATAGGCATGGAACACTCAGGTGTTGCGAGTTTTATACATTGTACATAAACCATACAGTAAAACTCCGAAGACGTAAAAAGATACCAAATCATTGTCATTCCAGTGGAATATGACCTGAATTCTTGAACAATTTCAACTCATAATTTACTTATCAACACTTTTATAACAAAATTATTATCTGCGTGTATTTAGAAACATGAGTCAGTTTAATGCTAACTATTAAGATTAACTTGAAATATGTTTGATACGGTACAACAATTGTCATTACGGCAATTACCAAAGGACCACTTGGTCTGATAGTTATTGACACGGACCTGGCTATACAAATTAGTTTTAAAACATGGATATTGTAACACCCAGAAGTCCTTGTGTTCGTTTGCTTGGAACCGAAAACTGTAAGTTATGTATTGTATTCATTGTAGCAATAGTACCTGCTATTGTGGTGTCAGAATTATGTGGTGTCATCTGTCGTGTGTAACATTGATGCACGATACATGTTGTAAGTGGACTTTAATATCTATAGTGTAATTGTTTTATTTTACCGTATTAACTACATTGTACTATTGTGTATGTAAAGTTAAATGTGTAAAGTGATGCTATTTCATTTTTTGTTAAAGTTGTGATTTGTTGAAGTTTGTATTGTCAGTAGATGTTATTTGTGTGAGAGAGTCTGATTTTCTTTTATCCTAAACGTTTCAGAATGTCTCTCTTTTAATGTTTAAAATTGAACCCAGCGGCTTTGTCATGACAATTCAGCTACATTTGGCGCCCATGTAGGGACCCTTGAATAGTACTTAACTATGTCCCACCAGCATCGCTGTAACCCGTGGAAAATCGAGGACGAGTTATTTCCTGGAGGGGGAGTATGTAACCTTGGTAAATACTATTCGCAACATACCATTCGGTTAGAGAGAACTTCTCTTTAGCTCGATTGGTTGAGCGTCAGACTAGTAAGCCAGGGATCCTTGGTTCGATTCCTAGCGGAGACATTGACATGAATATGACCGCTGTTACAGATTACCACGGCCCGGGCATTAGATTAGTTTGAGGCGGGGGATACTAGTACGTTGAAAGTCTGCCACCAGTTAATTGTTTTCCTTTATTTCTTTTCATACACCCTTCCTATACCGGCCGTGTTATGGTATGTTATTATCTGTCTGTAAGTCCGTCCGTCCGTAATTTTTGCCTTCCCAACTCGGCACTCTTGTTTTACTATTGGCTTGTCCTACTTCCGCGTCTCTTTTCCCTTTATAAAAAACTATCACGTATTATGTGTATTCATGAAATGGTATCTGTAGACACGTATCACCAGGATAAGGTGCTTTTTTTTGGGTGGGAGGGTGGGGGGGGGGTTGCGTTTTGTCCAGGAAATGGCCCTTATGTCGAGTTATATTGACATTTTATGTAAATTATGATCAAATCTCACCAGTGATCTAATTTTAAGTAGGAATCATCGATGATTTATTGTTACTCGAACAAGGCCATGTGCATGTACAGTTGTGGGATCGCACAACGTTACACGATATGCGGTGTGCGCACGATGTCTGCACGATATCTGCACGATGTCTGCACGATGTGAAATTGCATCGTGCAGGCGAATGTGCGCACGATGGACGATCCAAACGATAGCTATCGTGGTTGATATAAATTTAGGAATTGGTTATGAATAAAGTTCAAATATGCGGAACGATTGTGATATTAATACACTTCTTGTGTTGTCGTGACCAAGGTAAACTGATCAGTCTTGAATTTTCATTAAAGAATCAAAATTCACTTTGTCGTCGGTTGTTTGTTATGTTTTCAACAAGATCTCGCATTAAGGCAGTCGCTTGTAAACACACCACCTGGGCTCTCAGACGCACCCACTTCGATCTATGACACTCACAACACGAGGCGTGAGATCCAATTAGGCCTAAGAAAGGTGTCACAATGAGAAGCCATGCTGCATATTGTTTAGAGTATAAGTTCTAAGTGCAATCGTATACTATAATATAATCAAAACTGTTTCACCCTATTGTAACCAGTGTAACACCAACGCAACCGAAGACGTAAATCATATACTATGGGAATGTTCAGCATATTCCAATGAAAGGAATACATTAATAAGTGCCTTAAATAAATCAAATATTCTAACATTTAGTCCTAGTCATTTACTTAGAAAATCCGAAAACGAGAGGGCAATACATACTCTTTTATTAAAATACTTGCTAAACATAAATAAAATCAACGAAATATAAAAAGAAACGAAAATTATATAAGATTTACCTCCCCTTAACCATAAATAACATTCCAATACAAGTGACTATAGTTGTACAATAAAATTAGGGCGGTTGCAGGGTCAAAAGTCGAACAGTTTTAGGATATTCTATGATATCTTTGTTAATCAGTTAGATATAAAATATCAGTACCGGTTCCTCTGTCCCCACGGTATTGCCCCACAGGGTAGATATGTGTTAATGCATTTTCCTGTGATTAATTTTCATATTTTATGTCAAATATATTTATAGTCGCCACACGATCCAAATCGTTAAAGTATTTCACTGTATACACTTCCTTCATGTTGTCTTGATTTTGTTGTAAATGTTGTAACAATACTTGTATAATTGTATTGTCAGCATTGTAATGTCATTTAAGATGTATATTGGGTGAAGGCGTTGATAAGTTTCAATAACTTGTGCCTAATCCCTTGTCTATCTTTTGGCAATAAATATGTTTAGTAAACTAATGGAATAATCGACCAAAGACGAGCGTGACCTTATTCCATGGAGCGACCCGTTGAATGCAGAATTCTTCAAATTCTAACAAGAGTTCTTCACTCACACCTGTCCTGGCCTTCCTGTATATTCTTGTGAACGCATTGTGGTTTTGTGAGACTACATGGCCTAGGGATAACGGTTCAATACGTTTTGTTCGGAGTCCAGTGACCGAAGAGACGTGCGGTCTCGCTACCTTGTATTTATCCCTAGGGCCTACGTGACTGACAAATTTGATGGATAACCCGAACTGACCAAGGCTGTCAAATCATTTCCAGTTTAGAATTTAATTCCAGATAATCTAGAGCCAGTTGAGCCTAATCAACATAGAAAGCCTACGGTTTGGCTGAAATCGTCGACATGTATTTTGATTCGATCTATCTGTGTAAACAAAATGTATCGGCACATAAACATTTTTCGGCACATTCTGCTTTGTCTAATGCACAATTTATTGTACTTATGCATTTAACAATGAAAACTGCATCATAGGTACTACGTTGTTCAGCAACCTTTTGACCTCGAGGCTTTTGTCTCCCTACACGGCACTAACATAAACATACACCTGTTACATCACAATACAGGTAGCCTGTTACTTCTAATATACACAATCAACTAGTTTTATATCTTTTCAACAGAAAACACCGCCATATTTATAATAAACAGTTATATACTTAATTACCTAGCTCATTACGATCAATGTCCATTATATATATTACCTCCCTTTGATTCATTGTCAATATTGAGTCCAACGCATCTTACATTTTTAAAATTCCTATTATCAACGTTACATTCTCAGGGACCGATAACCTGCATAGGCTTACACAGGAACACACTTTTAATGACCAGACAGGTTTTAATTCATTCGAAACCAGAAAGAGTATACAAACTCAAATAAAAAACCGTACTATATGTATATATGTTATAGTTTATCACCTGTAGAATGGGTAAATATTTGAAAGAGGACTTGTTAGGATTTTATCTTGCGATAATTTACTTATCAAATATCATTTTTGACATCAAATATTATACGACGTTGACATTTATTTTTAGGTAGTATCTCTGGTGCGAAGGACCACATCCTCAACACCAGAATCAAATGATACCAAAATTGCATTTATTACATTTTTCTTAATTAAATGTAAGAATATATCAACTTCATAAAAATCAGATCTTGGAATCATGATTTGACTTTAGTAGTTTTGAGACCAATCAGATCGGTGCTTACTTATGACTTTCGTAATTCTGACCAATCAGAACGGTGCTTACTTGTGACTTCGTCAGAACGGTGATTTCTTATAATTTGTGTAATTTGGACCAATCAGAGCGGTACTTAATGGTCAATGCATTGAAATTCACCGATTTTTCTGTTTTGGCCAAAATGAAGCGAAGGTTGAATGAGTTCAATTTCGTGAAATATTTCCCATGTACATATAAGGTGATACTGTTTTCAATGAACTGATTTACCTTGATGATTTTGGGTTAAACGACTTGTCAGCCTACAAACATACTGCAATTTAAACATTTGTGTATCAGAAAAACACACAAACTGAGATCAAAATTCTGTATTGCAAGAGATCGATATGCGGAGCAGGGAATGTACATTGTTCGAGAGTCACTACCATTCTAAAAGGATATTTGCGCGAAGACAATAATTGTTATGACGAATAAAAACTTATTGTTTAATAATTACAATCGTAAGACCAAAGAGACCAATTTCATTAAATTATAAATCCGTAAACATAAGATCAAATGCAGACTCCGCATACTAATACGTCAATGCTAACTTCCACCATTACACAATCAGACATGTGCACATGGCGTTTCCGGTGTGATATCCAGCGTTAAAGAGAATAACAACCGAAAATATAAGTGTTCTAAAAGATACTCATATGTAATAGACATATTTTTTAACCTAGGTCATTGTCTTTGTCGATTGGTGATTTCACGTCATGCTTGTTACCATCATTGGCTACAGAGTTAACCACCGAGACGAAGTTGCTCTTGCTCGCCTTCGGATGGATCATACTTACATGACACATTCATATATGTTGAAAGGCGAAGATAATCCTCGGTGCATAGGATCTGTTGAGCTATTCGCCCTTAAACATGTTTTATTGGACTGCATTGACCTTCTGTCTACTCGAGAACGTTTTTATAATAACATTACATGTCTAAAAACCCTTTTTGAAACTGTTGAGATTTGTAAAATTCTACATTACCTGAAAGATGTAGGTCTATATAATAGACTATGACATACCGTTTTAATCTTTTGTGTTAACATACCCATTTAAGATTTTTAACATTTGTCTTTTACCTTTTGGTTTGTTTAATGTTATTTCCTTTTGAATCGCTGTGTGTGT